TGTGTGTGTGTGTGTGTGTGTGTGTGTGTGTGTGGGGGTGTGTGTGTGTGGGTGTGTGTGTGTTGGTGTGTTAATATACAAATTTAAGAGAATGAATACAAATAATTATAAATGGAAATACATATAAAAGTCTCCTAAGACAATAAATTAAAAAAAAATATATAAATGAAAATCAATATAAAAGTCTCTTAAAAGAGTAAATATAAAATGTAAGAATAAATATATATGTATTGTTATAATAAAATATAAATTAAAAATATAAAGTAAACAAACGTCTTCTAAAAAAGTAAATATGTAATGAATAAAAATAAATGACTATAATAACAAAATAGTTTTAATCATTTGTTCATTTTGTTAATATTGCACTCACGCACAATAACTACCCGTTACGGCCCAATCAACCTGACACTAATGTTGCAGAGTGAAATTGCAGTAATGCTCATTAATACTGGCACTGGAAGCTTTACTAGATGACTCGAGTGCCTTGAGGGGTGGCGTTGTTGCTACGGGGCCCGAAACAAAAAGCATGACTGATTATACTGAATGGTTGGTTTTAGTAAAACCTGTTAATTAAAACGGGTGTGTGTTGTTTTCTTCTCCAGTTACAACAACTAACAACAAAAACACTGCACATATCAGACAAGCATAGCAGAACGTCTCCCACTGTAAAACCCAATCAGCCACCTGCACAAAGCATCTGTTGTAGGAGGAGGAGTGACTGTAGTAGTAAAGCAGCCTACGGCTTTATTACCGCATTCATTCCTTCTCCACATGTCCAATGTTTGGACTGGTCTCAATGTCCAGCAGCGGGTGAAACACAGAAAAGACATGCAGTCAAGGCCATAGAAATCTGTCCATAGCTCTGACCCGGTCCAAAAGTGGGCTTAATGGAGATTAGGTCTGGCATTGCATAATTTTTATCCGAACTAAGCTGCAGTGCTGTTTAATGTGTTTTCCAGAGGTGCAGTGAGAAGCGCTCTGCTTCTGCTGGCACTTGAGAAGACTGAGAGAGGCTTGTGCACCTGTTGGTGTTGTGAACCCAGCAGGGTTGCGTTTCATTCAGCACATTTACTGAAACCCACAAGTTTTCTCCACTCGACAGAAGCTGCAGAGCGGTCCATCCACACAATTTGACAAATGCACAACTGAAAATAAGCACATCTTTCTCACGTTTTCCTAAACTAAAAGCCAGGTCATTCCAAGCATGCACTAGATTTTCATGTATATCGAAATACAATGAATAAAATGTTGCCATTTTTGCTGTGTCTCTAGGTGTTGAGCGCTATCGTCTAAAATTAAGATTAAAATTAAAATTAAAATTAAAATAGATCAAGTTTTGTTATAGATCAGGTGTTTCTGTATGGCAAATGTTCCCATTTACAAATGTAATATATGTACATATATTACATTTCCATATATGAAATACACTGAACAAAATTAAAAAACACAACACTTCTGTTTTTACCCCCATTTTTCATGAGCTGAACTCAAAGATCTAAGACTTTTTCTATGTACACAAAAGGCCTATTTCTCTCAAATATTGTTCACAAATCTGTCTAAATCGGTGTTAATGAGCACTTCTCCTTTGCCGAGATAATCCATCCACCTCACAGGTGTGGCATATCAAGATGCTGATTAGACAGCATGATTATTTATAATTTTGTTCAGTGTATATTGTCATATAAAGCAAAATCATATATGAAAAGTATTAGAAATTGGAACAATTTCATATATTAACATATATCTCTAGACCACATAAATATGTATGTAATATGTTATATTTATAATTTTTTTTTAATTAATTCATATTTTTGACATATGGTTGCTACATAAATAGCATATAAAATCATCATATATAGATATTATTAACATATGTACATACAAATTTTACTACAGTGATTTTTTTATGATATAACCTTATACAGTATGTGAATATATGTCATATATTACATTTCCGTTTGGGTTAGGTCTTTTTTTTTCCTTCATGTGATTAATTTTATTGCCATTGTGTAACCAGTCAAGTTACAATTAATATTGTTAATATGCATGAGTTTGACCAGCAAATATTTATATAAAATATATATAAAAATCAGAGCTCAAAAGATATTAAATAACAGGGATAAACTAGTGCCATAAACTGTTGAAGCATGGAGGAAAAACAGAAATGTTGTTTTACTTCTTTTTTAATTCACTATCCACTGTTGAGAAATAGTCAAACTTCAGAAGTCAGGATACTAAATATAAAATAAATCAGAAGGAGACTGAGGTAAACGCAAATGTTTCATAAGTGGAAAAAAATAAGCAGAATTACTTTGAAACCGTCAGTTAGATGTGCCACAAAGCAGCAGTGTAAATTCAGTGTCAAAGAAGGGTTTGTCTAGACAAATGAGAGAAGGCCATTACACTACTATGACAACAACTTTAGGCTATAAAGCTTTTAAAATGGTTGATAAGATTTCACAAGCAAATAAACCAAACAAAAAGCTCTCTGTGCAATCCCACAGTGCTCTACTATTTAGGAAAAACTGCACTCTCTGTATAATACAAACTGCACCACTTGCACGCACTCAATTATTTGCATTGATTTGCATGAACTATCTTCATTGAAGACAAAATTAATGTGTTAAAATAAATTACTAGAGGGGGAATTATAAGTAAAAGAAAGACAATAGATCAGACAAATGATGGAGAAAATTGTGATGTACAAAAACAAGCTTGTAAGGACTGCCATGTGGACTCCCTGTAGCTGAGAAGAATGGGGAAGGGGGGGTTGCCTTGTGGGGCACTGGCGGCCCTTTCATGGACATTGAGGCACAGTGTGATGCTGGGGTTGAACTATGATACTCCTGTCAAAGAGAACATTAATTTTTCCTACAATAAGGGCCTGATGGAATAGCCACATGTGAGAGGGGCTGGACAGGGATGGGGAGGTTAGGGGGCTGAGGAGGGGTCGGATGGAGGGTGAACCATCTTCATTTTAGTGAGAGATTCTTACAAAACCCATGGGGGAAAAATATAATTTTAATAATGATTTTAACAATTACAATTGTGCTTTTATCCTATTTCAATGTATAGATAATTCGATTAATATGAATTTTTGTTGACATGCTGCATCTATAAAAATTGCTGTTTTAATCAAATGAAATAAAATAAAATAAAATAAAATAAAATAATACAGCTGTTATTTGATCTATTTCTGGCTGTTAACACTCCCCCCACAAACTGCATAAAAATGCTCGAACCATGTTCAGTTATTTATGCAGGTTTGCAGCGAAAGCATTAGCACTTAAAGCCCCTCCACTACGATTAACAATCAAACATGCTGAGAAACGCTTATGTTATCCCCCAACTCCGCAGTACAAGAGAAAATCTCTTTTTTGTCATCAAATCCCTAATTCTTTCCTCTCTTTGGGAAAAAAAATAGTAATACCAGTTTCCAATCTGCTTTGAGAAATGTTTGGTGAGGGGGGGAAAGTGGCCATAAAACGTGTGAACAATGGGGTAATTGTGGACAAACGCAGTATTGAATTTCATTTTCAACTCCTTACACACCATTTCAATCTTATTTTCTGCCTGTTAGTCAGATCTTCTTGGCTATAGTGGGCAGAACTGCCCACTAATGGTGAATAATTGCTTGTAATACACTCTTTACCAATGATGTGCATCAATAGCAGTCATTTTCCTTTTATTTAGTTTTTAGGAATCAACCCTGAGCAATGAGTCCTATTTGTTACTCTCCATTATTCAAGAATGCTACATAACGTCTTTAACAAGAATCTTTGCTCAGAAACACAAGGACTAACACCTACAAAAGCCTTACTGGCTTTCCATTTTACATTCATACTCAAAGATGTATCAGAGCAAGACAAGACAATATTTTTTTTGCTCCGTTCTAGTTAATTAAAACACCCTGACTTATTAAAATGTCTGTTAATGCTTGAAAATTACTTCTAGACAATTAAACATACAGATCCATTAGTTTAGTGAGATTACTCTCTTTTCTGAATGAGGCGCAGTGCTAGCAGCTCTATGACTGCATATGGGATTTCTTCTCTTTAGGGTATCCTGTATTGTCTCAAAACTAATTTTCTTAGAATCAAACAACTAAATCTTTCTTTTAATTAGGAGAGTGAGTAAAACAAAGGAATATTCATTAGAACACAATATCTTATAAACACTTCACGAGCACAAGGTGGGTATCATCCACTAGAAGATGATTTCTCCAAAACATGTCTGCTCAGTACACATGAGACGCATCTAATCACCAAACGTACACGGCAGTGCACAAAGAATATGCCGTTTTATCTTCAGAGAGGTCTCGTAATTCCACTTGAAAGACTCCTTGACATGTGGCTATAGAGAAGAGTATTTAAACACTGTGGCCAGTGACCCTTACTGACCTGTGGAGATAGTCCATTGCTCACGGGATTCATGTGATTACTGCTCGCTGACTGGCTCATGAAGGTGTCGGTGTAGCTGGAGAAACTGTGGCGGTTGGACGAGAGGCCGTAGGCGGAGCTGCTGTCGCTCGAGAGCCCGCCCTGATGCATGGTGGAGGGGGGCAACGGCTGGGGCCGATGCACCGTGCCACAGCTGTCTGGGAAGAACAGCACGTTTAATTACGTCAGAGAATTATTCTGAAATGCATCATGGGAACCTTCGTTTTATTGCCATTCATGTATGAGATGAGTTTGTGTAATGAGTATTAAATAAATAGAAAAAAGGTTCAAGTTCTTCACGAAAACATTGGTTCATTTACCTTGTGGTAATGTTGTTGAAGGATAGGTGGACTCAGGAAGCTGGTATGTTGGTAAAGTGGTCATGCCTGTTGGTGGAAACCCTCCAGGTAACAGGTGGTTAAATGCCGCCAGTTGATTGGCTCCGGCTTGTTTACGCCATCTTGCTCGACGATTGCTGAACCAAACCTGAAAATTAAAAATAAAAATAAGTGCACTGAAATTCTGGTCAATACCACTAAATTAATTATCAATTTCATGTCTAATAATTAATGAAAAATGGTTGATATTATAAATGTATTCTATGTCATTTTTATGAAATCCGTTTGAATAAGAAATAGGATCATTTTTGTTAACCAAACTAAAACCATAAAAAAGTTAATTGCTTTAAATAAATGAAAACAGAAAATGAAATAAATTATTTCATGTATTTTATTTTATAATAAGTTACTTTCAACTAAAGCAACATTTCTTTTTCGTTTCGTTGAAGTACTAAAATAACTCAAACTAAATAAACTAAAACTTAAAAACTATATTACTAAATTACTAAAACTTTAACTTAAAATGAAACCAGAAAATAAAAATTCAATATATTAACAAAAACTATATTAGCTTATCACTAATTAAGGGGAAAAATGGTCACACTTTATTTTAAGGTTCTCGCTATTAACAAACCATTAACTATGACTTTTGCCTCAATAAACTCCTAATTTGCTGCTTATTAATAATTAGTAAGGTAGTTGTTTAGTTTAGGTATTGGGTGGATTAGGGATGTAGAATATGGTCATGCAAAATATGTGCTTTAGAAGTACTAATAAACAGCCAATATGTTAATAATATGCATGCTATTAAGCAACTTGTTAGTAGTGAGAAATGGTCCCTATACTAAAGTGTTACAGAAAAAACAAACAAGCAAAGATCTCATAATATTAGAGGAGGGGTGTACCCGGGTTATATGCATAATATTTTTTATGCGACTAACTCCAACATGTACTCATAAAGTGCACTTCCAACAGATAACCCTTAAAGGGTTAAATATTTGCCATAATCTATCCCTTTAATAGTTAGTTTAAAAGTTAGTGCTATAGATGATTTTTAATGTAGAAAATGTGTTTTTATATCAAATATTTCAGTGATATTTTGAATGAACAAAAAGCCTCTATTTAAAGAAAGCATGAACGCAAGAAAGAAAGAAAGAAAGGCCTCTGTCACATTAAGACACATTTTCAAAGTTTCATTCTAATGTGTCTCATTGAAAGGGGAGCACGGCCAGTAACCTGCACCTCTCTGGGGCCGAGGCGCTGCCCCTGTGTATGCAAAAGAGTGAATGACATTGATCTATGCCTCAGAGGGGCCATTCTTCAGACTTTAATACACTGGCAGTGCAGTTAATCTACTGTTGTTTTTCAAATGGTCCCCACCATTGTGAGTGGAAGTGAAAGAGGGGGACAATGGCCCTTCAATGAATCAGACCACAAAGAGAGGGCGTCCCTTTTTAAACAGCTCCTCAAGAATGACGCTTTCAGCCTGGGCATTGATCAAGGGGCTGGCGTAGACATACTGTATGAGTACACACTCTTTCTCTGCCTCTCGTTTTTATCCTCCCGGGCTCCCCTTCAATCTTTGCACACAAAGTGACAAAGCAAGATAAAAAGATCATTTTTAATAAAATCTCAAATTCAAGTGAGCCAATGAGAGCAGTCTGCAGCAAGATATTTTTGATAAATGCAATTTATTCTTAAAAATATGTGGCCTTTATGGTAATTGGAAAAATTAAATAAAATAGTTTTTTATTATTATTCATTTATTATCATTAAAATCCCACCCATAGGACAAAAGCAACAATTATGGCATTCCTTGAAAAAATTCCTGTTCCATTCCCATATCCAAACAAAAACTAGGAAACACCTATAAGACTCTGGAAACACCTATAAGACCTATATAATTACTCTTTTAAACGCACCAGGGGACTAATTACACACACGGTTAGTAACTACTTTGAAAAAGCACATTCCCAACACCCGTCCTTACCACAACGCTAGGTTAGACAACTGGATTTTTTTAAACTTCAAGAACTTAACTTTTCTTTAATAAATCATGCCAGTAAAAATCAGTTTCATTCAAATAAAAGTTAGCAGTACTCAACCATCCCCCATTAGCTGTCCCACACAGCTCTTTCAACAATGCCGTGCATCAACGACCTTTCCCATAAAACCACTAGTCCCGCTGACACGAGCCCCATTACTTTACATGTCTTAGTTTAGGATGGTTTCTGGTATTAACGAAAAGTGGTGAGTAGCACAAGGCATTAGAAGGCACGTAACTCAGTGTTAGAGGCTAGAGTGCCTGCCGCCCCACGCTCAATGGATCTCCTAAGAGGCTTGCTGCGAGCTGGGGCTTCTGAATGCACCATTCTGGAACCCGATGGCAAAGGCACCTTGAGCAGGGATTTTCTCTCTGCTGTTCCCTCTAATTCCCCACTCTTCTCATTTCCCTGCTCGAGCTGAGACACAAAGCACACTGCCCAACTGAGATGGCCGACTCATTTCGTATTTCTGAAAGAGCTCGAATAATTTCCTTAAAAGTGAACGGAGTCTCTTGGCGAAACATTTAAGAGAGGAGATTTGGTGGAGTGTGGCTCAAGGAGCTGTTGTTTGATTGCATTCGGTTCGGAGGGAATAGAAGTAGAAAAATTCAATTCAATATACTCTCAATCTCCAAGCGAACAGGGGGAGCGGGAGAGACAAAAGGAAGGGAGGTAAATGGAAGACAAATCTGATTGTGGACTGTGTCACGATTTCACATTCCACTCTCGTCCAATATCAATCATCCGGGCCATCCTATCAGTTCCTCTCACTTTCTTTTTCGCCGTCTTTCTTGGACGACGATGGCTATATGTCTTCCTAGGATTACAGCTTGCCATGCGCAGGGCGGTTGGTGAGCAGACAGGAAGACGAGGAGTAAAACCTGGATAGCGTGATTGAATTTCACAGCAAAAAAGAACATAACAGCGGCTGAGAGGTGTAAAAAAGGCAGACATCTCAGTGGCTCCATACAGGGGTTGTGGGAATCTGGATGGGCCGTGGGACAGGATGGGTTACGATGGAGGGTCGAGGCTGGCTGGACTGGGCCTTGAAGGAAACAGTGTGGCAATACTCTCTAAAATGAGGCATCTCTCCAGCAGAAGAGAGAGTTGAAGTTGTAGAACACTGTTAAGTCCATGCACATCCTCTTTCTAGTTTTTATAACCATCATTATACATAAACATAAATAAATGCATATAAACATACGTATAATACTTTCACATATTTGTTTGATCTGTTCATTGAAATCCTGCATTTTTATGTGAGCCAGCAGCATAAGTACAGAATTATTGGCTCCAGATTTTGCAAGGATCAATCACAACTCATGTGATATGACCACATCAGGGGGTTGACATTTGTGCCCTGGAAGTCTTGTTTCCAGATTGGATCAAAGGGTGCCAGAATAGCGAGGGGAAGTAGACACATCTTCAAACCTGCTTGTACGTAACATGTGGTAGGACTAAGCCTCTTCAATGCCTGACAGGTATACACTTCAATTCAAAAGCTTGGGGTCAGTAAGATTTTTATTTTTCATTAATTTTTTGAAAGAAATTACAGTAACACTTTCCTTAAAGCCTTTATGTATAATGCATTATAAAGGTTTATTAAAGGTTATAATGCATTATAATTATTCATAATGTGCATTGTAATGCATTATAGCTTGTCGGAAATCATTATAAGCGAATTTAAAATGCATTGCATAATAATGAATTGATAAGTATTTTAACATATTACCTGCTGCTACCATTATTCGTGAGATTGTACGATGCATTATAAGGTGCATTACAAAGCATAATTAATGCATTAAAACTACTTTTATAATGCATTATACATAAAGGCTTTAAGTAAAGTGTTACCGAAATTACTTTTACTCAGCAAGGATGCATTCAACTGATTAAGGTTAATGTTACAAAAGATTTATAAATATATGCTGTTCTTATAAACCTTTCTATTCATCAAAAAGTATCAGTTCCCACTATTGAGCAGCACAACTGTTTTCAACACTGATAATAATAAGAAATGTTTCTTGAGCAGCAAATCAGCATGTTAGAATGATTTCTGAAGAATCAAGTTACACTGAAGACTGGAGTAATGAATTTTTGTATGTATTTTTTTTTTTTTTTTTACAAGGTTATAATGCATTATAATTATTCATAATGTGCATTGTAATGCATTATAGCTTGTCGGAAATCATTATAAGCGAATTTAAAATGCATTGCATAATAATGAATTGATAAGTATTTTAACATATTACCTGCTGCTACCATTATTCGTGAGATTGTACGATGCATTATAAGGTGCATTACAAAGCATAATTAATGCATTAAAACTACTTTTATAATGCATTATACATAAAGGCTTTAAGTAAAGTGTTACCGAAATTACTTTTACTCAGCAAGGATGCATTCAACTGATTAAGGTTAATGTTACAAAAGATTTATAAATATATGCTGTTCTTATAAACCTTTCTATTCATCAAAAAGTATCAGTTCCCACTATTGAGCAGCACAACTGTTTTCAACACTGATAATAATAAGAAATGTTTCTTGAGCAGCAAATCAGCATGTTAGAATGATTTCTGAAGAATCAAGTTACACTGAAGACTGGAGTAATGAATTTTTGTATGTATTTTTTTTTTTTTTTTTTTTTACCGCAGCCTGGAGGAGCATAAACGACTTTCAAAAACATTTTACATCTTACCAGTCCTAAAGTTTTTAATGGTAGTGTATGTCAAAATTAGGTCATAGTATCTAGTTTAATTCATTATTCATAATATAATCTAAAAGATACTGGCATGCAGGTTTCATTGTGATAATGTAGTGTGTCTAGGTTCCCCTCCATCCGTTTATCTTCCTCATATTTCAGAGTGGTCATACTACAACCTCAAACCTGATCCATGAACACATTACGAAGATTTCTTGTCTAACAGAGTTTGAAGTGACCTAACTGCCACTGCCTATGAAATTTTCTGTAAATCTCCGTTAATTCATTTTGTTTCTCCCTCTGGCCTTACAAAATGCAATGAACCAGACAGACAGACCTGGAAGCACTTAGTCAGATATGGATCACTTCCTCTGATTTGTCATAAGGAGCAGTAAAACAGTAGAAGCATGAGTAAAGTGTCTGTGGTTAAGAATAACCACAGTGACAGACTGATGACACCTAATAGAAAAGCACCAAACACATAAATTAAAGCCTTTGACATCCTCACTGATCCATGTCTGACTTCCCCTCTTTGGCAGCAGGAACATTCCCTCCCTCTCTCCCAGTTTCTCTCTCTCTCTCAGACATCTGGATACTGTGTCAGCGCAGCTGCGCTCAAGTGGGTTGACACTGAGGCTGTGGGGTCTGCCAAAAGCCAACAGGGTCAGACACCTTCCCCTCCACAAAAGCAATGATCCCAGAGCCCTGGCATCTCCATGTGAGCTATCTCGAGCCAGAGATCCTCACACATCATCTGCTTGGCCTCTCAAGAACCAACTGCTGGGCTGTGACAGGGTTGAGAAAACAAAGCATGAGCTGTTGGGCCAAGATATTGAGGATGTGGTGGTTTCAATATGATCTTTGAGTGATCGGGACTTTCCATCCAACATGGCGCCAAATGTTTGACAGCAAAAGAACATTTGAATTTATATTCATGATTGAATTATCAGTTTTTAAAAATCTAATTCAGGTCTGACATACGCAGGTCAGAAGTGATGTAATGTTTATTCACTTGTCTAATTAGCATCAGTCACCATAAATGCACAAAAGGGCCAAATGTCCCATGGGGCTCCTTTCAGGGAGAGCCAAATCACTGACATGGCAGAAAAAAATCAGCAGGATCTCTGACACTGCCAGCGAGAGATCTTCTCTTTGCTAAAAAGCCTGCCACGAGGCCACTATGGGTCAGCTTTTTCCAAAATCGAGTCATTTTCATTTTGTCTGGGCACAAATGTTTGACTGATTTACATTTCTGCATTTAGCAGACACTTTTATCCAAAGCAATTTGTCAAAGAGCCAACGATATTTGTAATATACAAATTCTGATTTGAAACAAAAGTCATGAATGCTACTAAGTAAAAAAAGGAAAAATAAAGTGTCTTCCGCTTTATTAAGTGGTCGAATCACAGAAAGAGTAAGACATTTGGCAAGTCAAAAGGTGGTGAAGCCAATTTAGCCAACTAAAACGTGGCTGAGAGGAAAAAGAAAGAGACAGCTGCATTTCAGTTATGCAGTGACGTCATTTAGTCAGCTTGTGTACATCTGACATACAGAGTTTACTTATTAAAACAAATAATCTTTTATTACAAAATCGAATAACGAAGACAGATTGACCTTACGTGGCATTTCACTACACATTACTACATTAAGGTAACATCCAGAGCATTAGCATATGAAGACCACAAGCCCATACCATTTCAGAGGTGAAGCAGGCAGCAGGGCCACGGTGAGCGGTCATATTTTTTTTACAAGCTCTTGATTGATTAATGTAACTGGTGGAGAGGGGTTCCCAAGAGAGTGTGTGGGATGTTCTCTGATATGCAGCAAATTTTACAAGAAGCAGTGGTGGGCTTGAAAGTGGTGGGAAGAAAAGATCCCAGCCAAAAGCTGAAGTGAGAAATCCATCAGGAATGCACTTTTGTTCTTTTTATCCCCCTCCCTTTGCTCCCAACAGCTGCTGCCATAACTCTACTGTATTTTCCCCCTCTCATTGTTTCAACTATCCACATGGTTGACAAGTTGTCAGGACCAGTGGTGGGCGGAGCCAAAGTCCTGTGAATGCTCTACAACATTTACATGCACTTTTAAAGTTCAAATTCAGTCAGACTGTAACAAGCAATTCATCATGTAAACGCATTGGTCCAAATGAAATCGTACCAGTGGGGTCTCTGCAACTACAAGTCTCAGTGTTGTGTGAATGCTACAAAAGTCAGAAGTGACACAAAGGTTTTTAAACCTTCAAATATTCAGTTATGCATTGAATCATGTATGTTTTGACAGAGAGGAATGTAACTCGATTATGAGTTGCTCAATTAAAACTGTGAATATAAACGTACAGCATTTGTTATATTTTCTGTCATTTCTCTGAAAGATGACATTATTGACATTTTGATTAAAGTAAAAAAAATAAGTAAATGAAACATGCATGTATAAATCGTTCACAATATAAGATCGCAATAACATGCATTTAGAAAATAGATAGGGTGAGCTTTAATTTCAAGCCAACTTTGACAGAAGTAGTGCCATGTTAGCCACCTGATCGTGTTTCTCCGATACGGCTGACAGGAAGAGGCCTGCTGTGTTTTTCAAGCACTTTCTTTGAGACGAGCAGTTGCATTGTTACACGCATCATCAATCAGAGGACCTCAGTCCAGCAGATCTAGTGACACTTTAGAGCTCTATAGACCTCGAAGCACATAGCTGAACTCTTACTGAGCTCTCATTGTGCCATCTACATCTCCAACTGAGAGCATCAGTTTTACGGGTACCATCCTTTTATAAGTAACCTTCATAGATGAGCACAATTAAAGGGATAGTTCACCCAAAAAATGAAAGTTCTGTCATCATTTACTCACCCTCATGTCATTCCAAACCTGTATGACTTACTTTCTTCAAAAGAAGATACTTAAAAACTAAACAGGTTTCAAACAACATCGGACCCATTTGACTTCAGTTTTACAGTATGTGTGTTCAAGATGACAATTTTAATTTTTAGGTGAACTATCCCTTTAAGTTTTATATACAGAATGATGAAGATTCAATTAAACACATTTTGATCTGCATCTCAGTCAAACCATGTGTATATCTAGCAACTGCAGAAACTGCTTTAGTATTTGGCCGTGCCATACCTGTACTCTGGCCTCGGTGAGCTTGGTTCTCTGGGCTAGTTCCTCTCTAGTGTAGATGTCTGGGTAGTGTGTCCTTTCAAAGGCCTTCTCCAGCTCTTCCAGCTGCTCGGCTGTGAAGGTGGTCCGACTGCGCCTCTGCTTCCTCTTCAAGGGCAGGTCCGGTTCAGACTCCACGTCTGAGCCTTCATCTATTCGACCTGTCATAGAGGATAGACAACGAAAGAGCTGAGTGTGTTGTGCATGGCGCTAAAAAAGTCACGCACTTACCAGAAAGCTCTCTGGTTATGAATGCTGTCATCATAGTGATATGATGTGTAAGTGAATGTGGACCCAAAACACGGATGGATTGCAGCACAGTGAGACGGATTCATGTGGCTTTCAAGCAAATATTATTTCAATGCATAGCTATTTATATAAGCGAAGTTCTTGTACAATCCCACATCAGTGCGAATCCCAGCTCGCCCCGAGGCCATAGAGGGAAAAGTGGGGGGAGTTAATCTCCGCAGACCACCTTAGCGATCCTCGTACTGGTGCTAAAATGAAACAAAACTGGCACTTTGCAAATAACTCAAGTTTATTTCATTAAATGCCATTTGCGATCTTGCCGTCTTCAAAATAAGAGTGGTGGATTATCTGTCAAATGCAGCCATGTCAACTCCAGCATTTCTGTTTAGTGGTTAGCTGAAGAAAAGATGAGAAACAATGAGCCCAAATCTGATCTGATGCAAACCAGAGGTGTGTGGGTGGCAATTCAAGCCGAGTAGCTTAGTGATGAAACGAAAATGACACATTAGCTTATCCGTGCTGTGCGGAACAGTGACCTTTATACAGGTGTGTATGCACGATGCTGATAACTTTGCAAATAATTGTAGCAAGAATTCATATTAATGAGTGTGAACATGAAAGATTGACAAGTATGCTGTCAAAAAAAAAACTCACTAGCAATAGAGATTCAAAAAGATCTACCTATGTCCCATTCTTTACTCACATTTTCACATATGACAGGGAAGATCTTACAGACATTTTTTTACATTTCACTTGAGTTGATTCCTTATTTATTTCCAGTTTGGCTGGCACTGGGCTGATCCTTGAAAATCCCTTCAGCAGCATTGGAGGCCTAGCTCTGCAGACACTGGCCTTAATCCAGGCCATGACTTCCCGCTAAATTGAAGCAATTCTACATTAGTGATGGCTGAACCCTGGCTTCTTATTGGCTAATGCTGGTGTGGGCTTCCAAGACTGGCCCCTCTGAATAGGGCTGATTATTGAGGAACCGAGTGGGGTGCGCTTTGCCTTTTTTTATATGTTAAGGCTGGGTAAAAACTGTTTGTTTTTTTTCCCCCACATAATCGCCATCTTCATTTAAAAGATCCTGATATATATGATAAAATCTCAAGATCTTTCATTTACTCTGCACTTATAAAACAAAGATTCTTTATTGGCACTGATGGTTCCATGAAGGACATTTAAGATCCATAGAACCTTTCCATTTCACAAAAGAGGGAAATGGATTTTTAGATTCAAATTTTATTTTCACTAAGAAAAAATGGTTCTGTTAAAGGCTGTTCACGGAAAGGTACTTTGAGGAACCCAAAATGATTGTTCTATGGCATTGCCACACC